CTCTAAACTGGGATGAGTCTCATGGTGTTTATAATTTTCCATATTAATTCTTATAAAAATAATTCTGTCATTCAAAACATTATGTACTGAGCATCTTAAAATTTCTCATTATTCCTATAATGTAATTTACCTAAAGGTCTGTCACTCAAATTCAGGATGTCTCATTTTAATTCATATTAATGATTATTCAAAGAAATAGCAGTCTTTGGTTTAATAATAGATTTTAAGACTGAACATCATTTCTTGTATAAATTAAGTGAAGACAGCTGTAGACTGATAGAAAAATTAACAAGGTCCTGCTTCTTTCTACTTCTTTAAATCTGGTACTTTCCTCTATCTCTCTGCCTCATCAGCTCTTCATCTCTTTTTCAAATCTCATTGGAAAACTAATTTCCCCCTTGCCTCTACTGCTCAGCTATTTTCTCACTTCTATTTATTAATTTAACTCTAAATAATACTTGGATGAAGGAAAAGTAATATCTGACATCCTACATATCCTGTCCACTCACTGTCCTATGGAAGTGGGTTGATTTTTTATGTGAAAACTTCCTGTGAGCTGCAAATTGAATCTCCCAACAAAATCAAGTATTTTGGCAAAGGGTTTTGGCTTTAAATTTCATCAAGAGACAAGAAAGAAAAGAAATATCAGCCATCTCCTCCAAATCCCAATTCTAAAGATATTCTCTGCTTTCTGTCTTTAGAGATTTCACTGCAGTGCCTTGGGTTACTGCTTGGGTACATTCCATTAAAATCCCTTCTCTACAGACAGGCTTCCTTAGCTAATTATATGTTACCTTGTGTGTAAAAGGACATGTAATCCAGCTGGTGTGCTTGGGCCACGTGGGAGAACAAATAACAACTTAATACAGTTGCTGATACGTGCACAGCTTGGTATGCCTAATACAGGTCTTAGGGAGCATTAATTTTTGATGATTAACTTTCTGGGTTAGGATGGAAAGGGGAGGAGTAAGTATTTTCCAGTTCAGCTGCACAACCTGGAGTGCAGCTGGTGAGGTTTATATCCACTGTGTGCTGTGTTCCCTTTCCCATGAGGGAATTCCTACAGAAGGACTCGGTGTCATTACAAAGCTCTAACAAGGCCCCACTCCTTCATCTGCCTCAAACACAAAACACTTTTAATGAGAAGTAAAGAGATTATGATGCCCTGGAATCTTGCAAATGGTGCAAGCTTTGGTCAGTGTCTGAGTAATAGTTTAAACTATAAAAGAAAAATTAATTGCAATGAGCAATGAGATTATATAAATAAGTTCAGTTTTTCAAGGGAAAGACACTATGGCACATGAGAGATTTTTTCCTTTAGAAGTAATGTTTGTGGATGATATCAAGGGATCATAGAATACAATGGACAGAGTGCAGAATAGGGCAGACACCCTGTATCAACAGAGATAATTTGCAATGTTTAGTATTTCAAGACCCCAAAGAAGGTCTATGAAGAAATGCTTTTATGAGTATGTCTCAGATTTCCAAGGGCAAACATTTAACTGATCTTCTGTGTGTTGCTGTAAAGATTCATTATCCAAGGCATAGATTTCAGAATGATTCATAATCTACCCAAAATCAGGTATTTCAACTACCAAGCCTCAACAAGGCAATTATTTCAGGATCATCATATTCTCTGCCTGGTTATATCACACAACTATTCAAACAGTGGAAAACCCTTTCTCTTTGCTGTGACAGAACTCAGAGAATTCTGGACTGAATGTCGAGGAATTTTTGTTCTCCCAGGTCAAATCAGCTCTCTAATTATGTCCTACGTCAGATTTTTGTTCACTGCATTTTTGGCTGAAAGACTGCAGAAAAAAAATGACTTCTTGTAAGACAACTACACAAAAATGTACCAGTGCACTCGTAAATAAGAAACTACAAATCTGTACAACTGGCTCATGATGAAATTTTGTTACTGACCCAAGATTTTCATTTTTAGAGACAATATTTCCTGAAGTTCTGAATGTTTTACAGCAATTCCCTGGAGAAATGAAGGTCATATGGGAAAAGGTACTTTGAAGCAGAGAAATTATTGAATTGCTTTATTGTACTTTGAAATTAATGTATGATTCCTTTTTTGTAACTTATTGAGACCTCTGGATAACTCTCCTTCTCCACTTTATTTCTTTATAACTTGGTAGTCTTTATCAGAAGAATGTTTTTCACAGAGAGGACTTGATCTTTTGATAGTTCTCTGTGAGTAATCTGTATTTTACAAGAGTATAAATGTAAATTTCTTGCATAATTGGCACAATGTAGCCTCTGTGTTCTTGTTCTGGAAATGCACGGAAAGATGGATCTTTATGTTCCATGCTCATCATCATTAATTTGTTTTCCTTACGAAATTGTTGGAAACTGCCCCATTTTCTGGAGTGCTTACAGTTTATTGGGCAGCTATTTGATTTCTGAAGTTTACATTTCTTCCAGGGAACCTTGAGAATTAAAAGCAGGCTGCTCCCCTAATGTCCTCACCAATGATGTACTGACAATTTTTAAAATGTCAACAAGAAACCTTAAAAAAATAGCAGTAATACTTGTAAAAGTTTAGAATACTGCATAATTCTTTAGAGCTTCAAGAAATTAAGAAACTGATATAACCAGCTGAATTTGAGGGATTGAGTGGTTGTATTTGATGGAGACATTCCATTCTTATATTGTTTATCAGAACAAAACCTTTCTTTATTAAATGCAAATGATAGCTAGAAAGGGATATGCAAAATGGACTGCAAAAGTTATTCCATTTTTCTACCTAGTGTGTTTATTAGTAGCTAAGACTACTGTTTTCTGCCTTTTTCTTGACTCCCTTAGACATTAATAAAATTTCTGACCTTTTCATATTTAACATGTCCTTCAACTTTACCTGCATTTTTTTGCTCTTGTTAGAGGGGTGTCTTTGTGATAAATTCATACTAGATCCAGTAGAAAATTATTTCCCTCTTATCATATCTTCTGTGAGCATGTAACAACGTGCCTACTTTGTCACTTCTGCTGAGAACGGGAATGCTGATATTCCCCTGTTTCAGAGTTCCTGGGAAGGCTGAGAGATTACAGTGCCACTGGCTACATCTAGCCCTGTCATAACACAAACTATGCTTTTTAATACACAGAGCTCCACAGGGAAGAAGAAAAAAAATGAACTGGAACTTAAGTTAATTGTGCATATTAATATTTTCTGGCTTTGAGGTAGGAACCATCCCTTTTTCTTCCTCAATATAAAATTTCATTTGCATTTGGCCACTACACTTAGCCAGTGTTGTAATGTATGCTTCTTGATTTAAATATGATTAAAGCAAGATTTAAATATTATTAAAGAGGTGTTAAATAATATTTTCCAATTTAATGCTGTAAATAAGCAGAATGACTTGCAGTACTGGATTATTCATCTCTCTGATCAAGAACCTCGCCTCCAACACAGGTCTTGCAAATTACACCTGTGCCACAGCACTGGAAGGTGCCAGCAATGCATTTTATCTCCCCTGACCTCAGAGGAAAGAGTTTATAGAGAGAAGATGTTCCTTATATATTTTAAAAGGTGGACATAGAAAATTGTTCTCTTTTTTTCATAAAAACAGATAAGAGTGGTTTAAACTGTGTCTAGCAAAGGGTCTTAAAGCCTGTGCGTGTAGTCCTGCTGCACAATGGTCAAGGCTAAGGAACAAGTAGATCCCTAAGAAAAATTATTTGCCTTGTCACTCAGCACTGACTGCTCTTGGCACATAATCCATTGAGAAATGATTCTATTAAATATATATCTAAGATTTATAATTTAACATCCATACGAACAGCTACAGATCTTCGGAACTATTCCTATTCGACTGAATAAAATCTCACAATTTGTCTTGTTTAATTCACCTCTTTAATATCAACAAAGAAAAGAAATTCAAGTCATAATAGGGACATAATATGACAATGGATCAGAACCTGAAGGACTTCCATTAGAGTAGGAAAAGAGGGTTCCTTGCTTTGGCTCACCAAATATTCTAAGCAATCTGTCTTCTCCTTCTAGCTGTCCTATTTAAATTGTTCAGAGTTTTTTTCCCAGTTTACCCTTTCTTCTGCATCATTAAAGCTGCATAATCTCAACAGTGAAGTGCAGTCAAGGAATAAAATTCTCAGATATTTACAGAGCCTAATATCCCTAATACTTTCTTCCATGACTTGGTTTGTATTTCTGTTCTTTGTGATCTTCATACACATCAGTTCCACTGTGACTTCAGATGGGGGCAGGGAAACAGCAAGAACTGACTTAGCAGGGAACTGTTTAAGGTACAGACACCAAAAATTTCCCATCTATGTCTTCAGGATTGAAGGCACTGGTCAGCACGAATTTTTTTACTGGTACCAGGCCCAGTAGCAAATGGAAATGACAAAATATGTTTTGTGCTTATGGAGAAGGAGGCTTCAATTTATGCTTTTCCAGTACATGCTGTGTGGGCACCTTGTACCTTTACTTGTAATGCTTGTTGTAGCCCTCTTCTGTGTGAAATTGCCTAATTTTGACAAAGCACCAGAAATCCAATAGTTTCTCTTGTAACCTTTTCTAACCCTCTAAAAAATGATAGTGCACCTATCCTTTAAGCACATACTATTGCTTTATTTAGCAATAATAAATAAATACATCTTTTGCCTCAAATTGAAATCACATTCCCATTCACTTTAAATTCTGTTGTGTCACTCTAATGTGAAGTTTTTACAGTCTATAAATCAAAATGTATTGAAGCATGTGATCCATTTATCCATGTTTGTAAATGGAGTTACTATGAGACAAGTAAATGCACAATCTGTTGCTGCTCTACTCAACTCTAGTGTGAAACAAGACAGTCATTAACAAATCAGAAGCAAAACAACAAAAAAACAGCACAAAATAAAAAGTCTGGCATACACAGCATTGTATGTGGCGTCAAGTGAAAAGTTTTTTTAAAAATACTATTAAGAATACAAAACACATTGCTTTTTAGGATCTGAGTGTGGGTGATGCTGTAAGTGAGACCTACTTTCTCATAGTACTTGATCTCGTAGTCCAGAATTGCTCCATGGGGAAAGTCCGGCTCTTGCCAGGAGAGGGCAATGCTGTTTTGGGAAGCCCAGTCCTTCCTTACCATACCTATCAAGGTGGGTGCTGAAAGGGAAAAGGATAACTAAGGGTTAAAGACGAAGCACACGGTTTATCCTTCCAACCTCCTGTCTGAGGATACCAACCCGAGGCAACTTGGAGTGACCTCCAGCCAGAAAAGCATGACAGATGGCAATTCTCAGGGAAACCATATAACCTGGAATTAATGTCTCAAGCACACGCTGGTAACTCCTCTGCTGAAGCGCACAGCAGCTTCTGGAAAATGGCTGTGTGCAAAAATACAGAAAGAAACTGGGCTGGGTGGGCTCTGCCCCAGCCAGGCAGCGCTGCTGGCTCCAGGGACACCGTGCCCAGAGCAGAGCCACATTGCAGAGGCAGCAAATTCTGCAGGCAGGTTAATCTTCATTAAATGTTATGATTCAAGCGTTTAGGACGTACATTCAGTTTACTCTCTGGGGTAAAATAAAGTGACACAGCTCAAAACAGATGCAATGAATCCCTTTCCTGGCAAGCCCTTTGTGAGGTGTCTGTGTGCACCAAGAGCCAGATCCTTCAGGAGCTCCTGGAAGGGATTGGGGTATGGGCAAACTGGGGGGAAAAAGCAGCTTCTGGAAGGGGCCCAACATGCATGGATGCACCCAGCAGCCAAATTATCTCACTCTGGGGTTAACCAATTTTAAGAACCAGTTTTTCTGCCTTTTTGGAAAAGAAGGTGCCCTGTTATCTACGCAATGATTTTAAATGGTGCAAAGACTGTGTTCTAGAAAACAATCTTTGCTTACTTTATTAATCTGGTCAAGCATCTAAAAATATTCTCCAGACACTAATGCGTGTTTTAATAGTATTGATGTGCAGCCCTCCCAAATGTTACAGCAAACCCAGTCATATCATTCAACAGTCCTGAACACAACTATGATCAACAATCCAGCTACCAAAAGTGGTTCACAGATTTCACTATTTGTATTCCCACTAAAAGGTATCAGTTTATTACACACCCACTCCCATTCATCTCTCTTCTGAATCTTACTTAACTTCTTCCAAGTTTCCATGGAGTTGTCTCCTAAAAATAACATATTTTTATGACTTCTGGTTTTATCTTTTGAACGAAACAATCTCCCTAAGAAAATGAAAAGAGAATCTGTTTCTAGTCACAAAATTTCACGCCTTAGTTTTCTTTCCTGTAAACATTTCAGGAGATTTAAGAAATGAAAACAATAAATTCTAGAATGCAAACAAACACTGAAGAAAACAAAACTGTGTGTTTCTCTTTGAAAAAAGGGAAACTCTACACAGAGACGTGCACATTTTTCTCTGTGATAATGCATTTATCTGAGAGAGAAAATTAACTTCCATCCAGTCTTACCTTTGAGTAATTATTTTCTGGGATAGTAATTTTGTCCTCTCTGATGTGAAAAAATCCCCAACTCAACAACTAACACCAGAAAAAAAACCCTACCAAAGTGTAAGGGCTGACACAGGAAACTTCTACACCTTTGCCACTTTAACCACAGGATTGATGCAAGGGTGTCAGAGCAAAAAAATAAAAAATCCTGCCATGCAGAATAAAGGATTAACCTGGTTTTCAGAAAGCCCTTAAACAGCATAATGTAAATAACTGAACAGAATAAAACACAAATTAATAAATAAAAAGCATTCACAGGATTTGAACCAAAGTGTTATCCCTGGGTAGGCACAGCTACTTCCTTAGGTAAAATGAAATTTTTGTTCTTGAAACTGAGGGTAAAGTTGAGCTCTCATAATATTTCTCTGGGGTCCAATCAACTTCTCCAAGCAAGATACAAAGCCATGTCTGTTTGAAGGAAAGCAGGAGCTAGCAAACATGGATTTGTAATTGCTAAACAGAGATCAAGGGCCTAGGAAGGCACTGCTCACACAAATTGTTTTACTATTTGTTACTCTGAGTCATTCACTGGCATTGAGCTATGATTTACAGGTGGGTCTGAGTGAGCTACAGCAACCTGTCAGATACATCTGGTACCCCTGTGTGCCTGCTTAGAGGTGATGAGCATCTGCTGGGCCACCTTCCCAGCACACTGCAGCTTCATCCCTCAGCACCTGGGAGCTCACTGCTCAGGCAACCCAACCCCAAGCAAAATTATTAAGACTGATGACAGAAAACACCAGGTTAAGCTGTAGACAAAATTATATTCTTGGCTCTTTTAGGCTTATAAAATATACACTGCTGATATAACACGTCTTCAAATTGTAGCCTCAACTTTACAAGCTTTTCGTATGTACTGCATGACGGGGATTTTTCTTTGTGTTCTAACTTCCAAATTTATACAGCAATTGATGCATGTTTTCAGCCTGAGTTCAACAGAATAATTCTTCCATTTGATGAAGTGCAGTTCAAAAGCACAGTCGTGTGAAGATCCTCTCAAAACTTTAGTATATGAAATAACCCCGTTGCCTTCCTGGGAAAGAACTCAGTCTGAAATTAACAGAACAGAATGACTTTAGATCTCCCCTAAACCACCTGTGCTTGACCTGCACTTGAAACCAACAAGCCCATACAGCAAGGCTCACATCACACCTGTGGCACTGTGCCAGCACTGAATACTCTAAATCCAAATGCAGAGATGTGCACCTAAAGCTGTGAATATGAGAAGTGAATTTGTGTTTTTATCAAGGAAAAAAAAAAAAAAAAGAAAAGAAAAAAAGAGTGTACTTTTTAACAGAAAGGCCCAGAAGAATCACCATTGACCATTTCCTGTATGTGCAGAAGGATGCTCCTGTTTTTGGCAGACAGGATTCCAGTCAGAAAATTATTGCAGGAAGAAACAGACAAATAAAACCAAGTAATTAAAAGCACAGCTAGCTGAGTTTCTATTTCTTTTCTTGTGAAGTGCTACTAAACAGCACTCATGTCTGTGGAGAAATTTCTGCTCCTTACAACTGTTGCTCACCAGAGCAGAAGTCAATTAGACCTTAGAGATCCTATCCACTTATTGTTAAAGCTCTTTTTAACCAGAAGACTGTAAGATAGGTACATTCTATTTTCCCATTCCTAAAGGCTGCTCTAATGTCCCTATGATGAATCAATGGGAAGTTCTGTTAATTAGTTGTTTCAAATCCAGTAGCTGCAGGAGAACTCTAATATGGTTACCAATTAAACCATTTGAAAAAAGAAATGCTTAGAAGAGCAGCATGGGTTTTAATCACTTTAAGGGCAGCATTTTCTTGCCATTGGTCCTAGGCTGAAGGGTGGTTTCTGGCTCTTGAGCTCAGCACTGATCTGTGTTTTGTACAGAGGATTCTTTGCACCATCTGTTTTCTTCTACACTGTTGTAAATTTCTTGAATTACAATGAGTCATCTACAATGTGGTGAGCTCCTCATTTAATCTAGTCCCATAAGCTTCTTGGTCTTTTCAAATTTTTATTGAATAATGGAAGTGCATTCTTTTTGGAAGTGCTGATTTTATTCTAAACTCTTTTGGATTCTCTTTTTCAGATTCCTTTTTTTCTCATGCAATACATACAGGAAAATGTGTATTTTAAACAATGACTGGATCTAAGTGTCTTTTCCCTAGATAATTTCTTTATCTGAGGCTGACTTCCATCATCCATAAGTGTCTGATTTCAAAATAGGTGATCTGTAGGGCTGCTGAAGCTTTTTTCTTTCACTGCATTTTCTAATTGTGCTATTTCTTCTTTCACAAGAAAGTAGGCAAAGAAATGCCTCCTGTTTCCAGGACTCCTATCCACTTATTGTTAAAGCTCTTTTTAACCAGAAGACTGTAAGATAGGTACATTCTATTTTCCCATTCCTAAAGGCTGCTCTAATGTCCCTATGATGAATCAATGGGAAGTTCTGTTAATTAGTTGTTTCAAATCCAGTAGCTGCAGGAGAACTCTAATATGGTTACCAATTAAACCATTTGAAAAAAGAAATGCTTAGAAGAGCAGCATGGGTTTTAATCACTTTAAGGGCAGCATTTTCTTGCCATTGGTCCTAGGCTGAAGGGTGGTTTCTGGCTCTTGAGCTCAGCACTGATCTGTGTTTTGTACAGAGGATTCTTTGCACCATCTGTTTTCTTCTGCACTGTTATAAATTTCTTGAATTACAATGAGTCATCTACAATGTGGTAAGCTCCTCATTTAATCTAGTCCCATAAGCTTCTTGGTCTTTTCAAATTTTTATTGAATAATGGAAGTGCATTCTTTTTGGAAGTGCTGATTTTATCCTAAACTCTTTTGGCTTCTCTTTTTCAGATTCCTTTTTTTCTCATGCAATACATACAGGAAAATGTGTATTTTAAACAATGACTGGATCTAAGTGTCTTTTCCCTAGATAATTTCTTTATCTGAAGCTGACTTCCATTATCCATAACTGTCTGATTTTAATAGGTGATCTATAGGGTTGCTGAAGCTTTTTTTTCCCTTTAGTGCAGTTTCTGATTGTGCTATTTCTTGTTCCACAAGAAAGTAGGCAAAGAAATGCCTCCTGTTTCCAGGACTGAACAGCTTTTATAGGATGCCCATTCATGGTGAGGAAGCTTCAGACCCTATGACAGCTGATGACCAAAGCTCACCTGGTACCTGTTTATACATGGAATCTTTCACCCCTTCATATCTCAATTCAAATCTTATTTCTTTGGTGAAGAGAAATCATGACAGCTCAAAGACCTCTCCCTTCAGTCACTTTGTTTTAAAAAAAAAATTCTACCATCAAATAAGAACAGCTGCACCAGTTTTGTCCTCCTCCTTCCTTCCCCCTGAATTGTATCTGAATTTTGCCCAAAGCCGATGAAGTGCCAGCAGATACAAATTTGGAGAGGAGAGAGTGGAAATAGGATCTGAACTGTATGGATGCTGTTGGGAGCAACTTCATTCTTTTGGACACCATCCTCATGAGAAGACTGTGGGTCTCAGTATGTAAAAATATTGGGGTCTCAATATGTAAAATAATGCCCTTTGGGATCACGAGTTTAATTCAGTTTGTTGTTTCTATACCTCTGCCATTACCAACAATAATGCAAATTGCATAATTAAATGTTATTCTTTCCCTGAGACCCCTGCCTGC